CAATAATAAAGGCAATGCATCTTAAACAGAGTAGTTCGTTGGTTACAGTTGAAGAGTCTTCTTTTAACATCCCATTAACATATTTCTATTTTACCTTCAGTTATTGGAGAACCTGCAAATTCCATTGAAAATGATGCAAGGATGCATACATCAAGAGTACAGCTAACCTCTAAAAAAGCATCACCAGGTTATTATATTTATCTTCTTAGTTAGTTAGCTCAACCAGAGAACACAAAAAAATAGCAAATGTTAAATTGAAATATAATAGCATGCCATATAAGCTAAAAGTATTTTTAAAAAATATCAAAAGAAAAGAAGATATTATTAAAGCTTTGAGGACAGAAGTTAGAGAATTAAAAAAAAAAATTAATACGTATTATTACAGCAAGTTAACATCTTAAAGCGAGACAAAGGCATTTAAAATAAAAGAAAAAAAATTTAATGCAAATAAAAGTAAGACATAAAACTGATGTTGATGCAAATAAAATGTTTAGTGATCAATTAGAAAATGACATGTTACAAATAAAAGAGGGAAAATTTTTAAATGTTAATATGTCAGAAGACGATAAGAGTTACTCTTTAAAAATAAGGATGATAATTTGTAGCATGTTATTAGCTAATGTGCCAACAGGTAACATCGGAATCTTAATTATAAAAATTAATCCTAAAATTTACCAATATTTGGGTGTTAACTTTAATTTGCAAAATGTTTGGATATGATTGTATGGCAGTCAAAATTGGGTTAGCAATGAACAAGATGAGGTTTAAGGATGGCAAAGGTGATCCACGGGGATTTGTTAATTTTTTAGTCAATAATGAACTACCGCGAAGTATTGTTCCATGGTATCGTGGAAACCGTCTGCACATTCTTTTCCATACTTGTTTTATTTTTATGAAAACTATACTGCTTTTCTACTTTATCTGACCACTGGAACAGTAAAATATTTCAGTTTACAACCAATTCTGCTAAAAGCCTTTCGTAATGCAACTGCTATAAAACAAATGGGAGTGCTTGCACTATTTAGTAAACTTTTCAGTGGACCATGGATGACTAAGTTTTATGTATCAGCTGATGATACATGTTTTGATCATGTCACTGGTATTCAGGTAGTATAAGATGTTCTAAAAGAAGTTACTAATTGCAAGTCTGATCCAGCTGCACTATTTTGCAGAGAAATTGATTTTTTTGCAAAAACCCTTGTCCCTAATATTTTACAGTCTATTACAACTTTATGCCCCATTGATGAACAACTTGCAAAAATGACTTCTGCTTGTCTTAATGCAGTTAAAGAAGTCTTGACTCGTCAATATAAGAGATATTTCTTCCTTTTTATTTCAGCAGAACTCAAAAAGGAGACAGCTTGTGCAAGGCTTCACAATATAGATAGTGAAGAATTAATTGGTATGTTTAGTGATGCCAAAGTACGATGCCCTAATGCAACAATTTGTTATATATCTAGAAAATTAAGATCCAAAATGACTATAGACTATCTTGAGAACCTTGAGGAGTTTTGTAGGGAAAAGGTGATTAAATGGTCTATTTACATGGCACGTAAAAAAAGAATCAAAAATTGACTACTACATAATGAAATTCGAGCAGAGATTGCTGGTAGACAGGCGTTCAAGCGCCAAAAAGTGGACGAAAAAAAAAAAGAAAGTTAGAGCGTGAGCTGTGTTTATTAACTACCAGTGAAATGATGCATAAATATAAACACTTGTCTGCGAAGCAATTAGAAGATTTAGATGATGTTATGTCAGAAAGAATTGTTGGCAGAAAACTTGGTCATGAGTGGTATGATGCTGACTGTTCAAAATCTGTCCTTTATGATGGTAGAGTTGAAAAGGTACACAAGAGCCAACAAGACAAAATTTACACTATTTCTTACTGGAAAAAAGATAAAACTGATCTTTAAGCTGTTGAATATAAGATAAAAAAATACAGCTTGCAGCTGATGTTATAACAGGAGAATTAATATTTTCTTAATTTCAATATGAAAATAATTTAAATTATGTATAATTATATTCATATAATTAGAAGTTACCAAAGGAGTACCGCAAGTTGTGTAGCTTGCAAATATGGTACAGCAAGTTGTGTAGCTTGCAAAAGGAGTACCGCAAGTTGTGTAACTTGCAAATATGGTACAGCAAGTTGTGTAGCTTGCAAAAGGAGTACTGCAAGTTGTGTAGCTTGCAATTATGGTACAGCAAGTTGTGTAGCTTGCGAAGTTTGTTTGATAGACGGCTCTGGATTACCTTCACATAGTGTCTATTGTTAAAAATGATTTATTATATTTTAATTACTGGAATTCTAAATAATATCATTTACTAAAAGCCAAGACATTAATTTATATATTTTGTATTTTAAAACTTTTTAAAATATAAGTTTTAAAACTGTGGTTAATTTTTAGGGTGGATACTCCAACCTGCATCTTGTAATGTGGTAAGATTAGTAAAGTTATATCTCTCTTTTTACACAAATTAAAGACATTTTTGAAATTTTTATTGACGTTTTTTTAAAGTAAGAAGAGGGAGGGGGTTGGGCGCGGCACACACCCCTCTCCTAACATGGTAAAATAATTTTGAATACTAATTTCTTTTTTTAAATAAACTCAGTTTAAAATCATTTTTCAAATATCTTTTAAAATTTTTATTTAGGTTGGAGAAGACTGAGAGGAAGGGGGAGGGGCGTTAAGCGTGGCATCGTCCCGCCCTCTAATGTCAGTTTATGCACCACTTGTATATGCTGTTAAGTATACACAAAATATAATTTAAACTTTTTAACACAAAACATAATCAGTGTTTTTTAGGTTCAAATATTTATAAGATTATAACATTTCACTATGAGGGTGTTAAAACGTAACAATGACATCCACCCTTTAATCTAAAATAGACCGCTAATATTTGGAAATGTAATGGAAGCAAATTAGAACAACTTTTTCTGTATAAAGATAACAAATTTTATTAGGAAAATACTCTTTTGTGTGAAAAACATGTATTTTTTTAAGGTTACGATGGTGTTCCAATACCCCCTTTGGCCCTCTAGACACCCCTTTTATCTATAGAGGTATATGAACTTGTAGCCTACTCTTACATCTATCTTTTGATACCAAGGTATAGGTATTTAGATAAAATTTGACAAAGATATAACAATTTCAGTGAAAAATAAATAAATTTTGGAACCAGTTTCTTCAAGAAATCAATATATCAAAATTTTGCTACTAAAAACGTCATAACTTTTTTTTAAATTGTTTGTTTTTAATTTTTAATTGTTCTTCAATAATTTTTTCACCATTAAAATACTTTATTGAAGGGCTTTCTAATGATATAAAACATTCTAGTATATTACATGTCATGTTATTCATCAAGGAAAATATATTCAGAAAGATCAAATCGTTTAAAGAAGAGGAATGCTGAAAAAGTGCTTATTGAAGAGAATAGTATTAACAGCTGTTTACAAGAAGAAATTGTTGATGAATCCAAAACTGTCAAAATTATAAGGGAGATAAGAGAAGAAAACGAGAAGTTAAAAAACTTAAATAAAAAACTAAAAGAAGACAGTGAAGCAGAATTTGATTTTCTTCAAAAGTCAAAATATATTATACAAAAAATAATAAATATAAATACTGCACTTGTCAAGAAAAACAAAATATTGAAAAATCAAATTGATGAGGCTACTTTTAAATTAATAAAAGATAAAAAGAAAATTCAATTTTATACAGGTCTTCCTGATATACATGTTTTTAAACATGTTTTTAACTTAATTGAAAACCATATTCCAGCTAATAACTCTTCAACTATGACAAAGTTGCAAGAATTTTGTATTATTTTAATGAAACTGCGTCTAAATTTGCTGTAACAAGATATAGTGTACAGATTTGGTATGATTCAACCAACCGTATCACGAATCTTTTAATCACGAAGCCATTCCTTTGAGAAATGGCTTCTTGTAATGGCACGCAGACTATACTTTTTGATAAAGTGGCCAGAGAGAAGTATATTCAGGAGAACAATGCCAATTTGTTTTCGAGAATTTTTTTCTAAATGTGTTGTAATTATTAACTGCTTTGAGATTTTTATTGAAAAACCAAAAGATCTGACAGCTAAAGCTCAAACTTTTTCTAAATATAAACACCATAATACTATTAAAGTTATAATTGTCATTACTCCACAAGAATCGATATCATTTGTTTCAGAAGCTTGGGGTGGAAGAGTATCTGACGTTTATATTACAGAAAATTCTGGAATATTAAATAATCTACTTATTGGTGATCAGTTGTTAGCTGACAGAGGTTTTACCATTGCAGATTCCGTTGGTTTATATTGTGCCGAATTAAAACTTCCTGCTTTTACACGAGGAAAGTCTCAGCTATCTCAAATAGAAGTTGATTGGACGCGAGAGATTGCCCGTGTACGAATACACGTTGAACGTTTAATGTAAACTAAAGAATATTTTAACTGTTTGCTCTGCTTTATTTAATCTTTGTTATGGAGTAGTCCCTATAGATTGACTTTTATTTTAATATATAAAAATACATAAATGTAGTATTATGTTTATTTATTCATTTAAACCTTTTTTTTTAATTCTAGTTTTATTGTGGCAACAATATGGGCAAAACCATTTTCCAATTGGTTTACTTGTAAGTCCAAGACAATTAAGATGATAGATTTTTATAACACAAGCTAAATCAAAACATTTAATTATAATACTCTCTTTAATTTCACGGCAAGTACATATTGTTTTAAAATTGTTATTTTTTTTTAATGCCCCAATATTTACAAAAGTATTATGATTTCTAGAATACCATTTGGCAAGGAGTTCAGGCAGTATCACTAAAATAAAAAAATCTCTTGGTTTGTTTAAGTTTTCAGTGAAGAATTCTTATCAACATAAATTTTTTCAACTGGCTTCACCATTATACACGATAAAATAACAAATCGGAATATTTGAAATTAACATTTGTAGCTGAACTTTATAATAATATTGATGAGTTCTTTTTAAATAATGTTTTCCGTCCTTTTGCATTTAAATAGACATTTTATCTCAACTGTGTATTCAAGAGAACAGCATGTGCATTTCATAATACCATCAGGAGTTGCTCAGAGGTATGGCCATATGGATGTTCTAAGCAATCCACATTAAAAAATTTCAACATTTTTATGAGTTGTTAATAGTTGGGATTTTAAATAATTTTTAGCTACAATTTCATTATCACAACCATAATTTGTTGCTTTAGTAATAAATTTATTTTCTGATGGATAACAAATTTGCATTGTTAAATTTTTAGAAGGCATGGCTTTATTTGAATGACAACAAGCTTTGAATTTACTATTTTACTAGCTGTGATAACTTTTGTGCGTGCTCTAAACCATAAGCTTGATTGAGATTGAGTTTTTGTATGATCTGAAATCAGTTTCATCTTCAGTTATTTCACCATTTCATCTTCAGTTATTTTTATATCTGAAAAAGTTTTATTTGAAAGTTCAACGAGTTCATGATATTTTAATTGTTCATGTTCTCTTTTGTAAAAGTTAAAAATAATTGCATTTAGTTTTGCAACTACATGTATATATTTATTACTATATTCAGGAATTATACGATGAATTACACTATCTCTTAGATTATTTGATATTTTACTGTAAAAGTTACCAATTTCTGTCTTACTTGGAATTGGAAAGAAGAAGGCTTTTTTAATATATGGTTTTGCTTGTGTTTTGTTCTTAACTTTTGCTTCAATTTTTTTTTAGGATCGGTAAAATTAATTTGCGAAAGTGTCTCTGATCATGTCTTACACGACTGGTAACAATATAAATAGACTTTACACCATAAATGAACTTTAGAAGAACGTTGTGAACAAGACCACTGGTTATATAATTCAAGACCTTTGTAAGATTTTAAACTAGAGCTTGTAAATTGACTTGGAAAGTTGATTAGATAGCTGTATATATCAGCAAAAAATAGATTAGGCCATTTATCTACGTTATTAGACTAATAACGTAGTATATAACTAATAACTAACTAATAATTAGTTCACATTCTTTTTCTGATAAAGAATACGGATCAAAAATAATCTCTAGAACTGATAATTTTTCTTCGTATCTCTTTTTTGCTTCCAAATTAAGACTCTTGTAATACTGTGATCGCATAATTGGAAGCAAAGAAGAATTTAAATTAATTTCAACAAATCGGCTTTTAGTATTTAAACGAACGGTGTCGCGTTAAATAATTAGCTCGTTAAATAAGTAGACAAACAGTTCTGCGCATGCTTCAAAATGCTAAAACACTTCTTTTTTTTTTAAGTTATTTTTTTTTTTATATATTTTTTTTTTATTTATTTTTTTTAATTTTACATTTGTTGCTCGTATTACAATTATAAAAAAAAAAAAATAATGATAATAATAATAAACGGATTAAACGGATAGCATTCAACGTCTTTATCGCCGTTTCTGACGACGATAAAGACGTTGTTATATACGATTGTAAAAATTGTAAAAGTTGCAACTTACTTAAAAACTAGGATCCTAAAACCCAGCGTTAAATAAGTAACATTGTTTATAAACGAAAAAGATGGCGGACTACGACTATTCTGTTGAAGATGTTAAAAAATATCTTTATAATGGAACAATTAGAAAATGTATGAGTTTAAAACAGTGTAAATCATTTCTAAAATATGCTAAAAAACTTCAGTTTACTGGTATGTAATAACATTAAAAGTAATTTTGTGATTGAAAATTTAGAATTAAATCTCAGAGTGTAAACATTGTATACAAATGTAAACATTTGCGCATAATTTATATACGATTGTAAAAATTGCAGTTATAATTCTGTAATAAATAATCTTTAGATGAAAATTTACAAAAGTAACCGTTGCATACAAGTTTTGCATACACATGTCACATGTGTTTACAAATGTTTACATGTGTTGTAAACGTTTGCATGTAGTTTATATACGATTCTAAACATTGCAGAAATAGTTCTGCAATGACTAACATTGCATAAACTTATACAAATACTCAAAAGTAACGATTGCATACACCATTGGCATACAAAGGTTATTTCCTGATATCGATCCCTGTTTTGATTGGTTAAAAACTTTGAGTTTCGAAGAGTCCGATTTTGAAACATTAGCCGGACTCTAAGACTTGTGGAAATTTTTTTAACCAATCAAAACAGGGATCGATCTTAGGAAATGGCCGTTCGTTTAGCTAAACGAACGGCTATTTCCTAAGATCGATCCCTGTTTTGAAAAATCCCTGTTCAGAAAATTTTTTGTATCTAATTAGATACAAAAAATTTTCTGAGTAGCAACAACATTTTTAAAGTTTTACTTAGTAGTTATTATTTGCATATTTTTGATAGAATTCAAAAATGATAAAAACAATATAAAGATGTTTTAGTATATAAAAAACTGTGATTTTCTGCTAAATTTATCTGACTATTAAAAGCGTGATTTGTTTACATTTTCAAAACTCTTTTTTTAAAAATCTGAGCGATTGTCACTTTTTTATTTCGAATAGTCTTATCTTGATTTGAAATTGTTTTCAGATCTGAGTATTCAATTTTTTTCAGAGTTCACCCAACACTACTTTTGTAGATGTATGATACCATGGATGTATAAAACAGATGGAAGTTCAACCGCATTGAAATTCTTCGGGACTATGCTTGTAACCTTTTGTTTCGTAAACATTAAGAAAACGACATCAAGACTGTACTTAAACGCTTAATCTTTAAACGTTGACGCAAATAGATACGTTTATAATAGTTTAAAAATATAGTGTTTTGAAGGTTCGCCAATAATATTCAAGAAAAACATTAAAAATGGCGCAAACAACAATTCTTATATAAACTTTATATTAAATGAATGGAGTACTACAAGAATGAATGGAGTTATGATATACATCTAATAAAACTTTAAACTTAAGTTATTTAAAAAACAATTTTTTTGATCTTTTAAAAATTGTTTTAGTTGTCTTTTTTATCAAATGTCGTGTTATGACTTATGAAGCAAGAAAAGAAGCTTAAACTAACATATGCTTTTAAAATCAAGTGGTTCTATTTAATTACCGAGTTTTAATAAACCTTTTGTTGAATAATTGCAATAACTAATGGTTAAAAATTTGCAGCATATCCCTAGAATGATTCATTTTTTAATGTTTTAATAAAGATCATTTCAGTGAATTTTGTTGTTTTTTTATCCAGTGAAACTTGTTTTTTTATTATTGTCGGTTACAAGCTTACTCCCGAGACGACTTGAAATGCTTTGATGTTTGCGGCTCGATGAACTTCCATCTGTTTTATACTTCCATGATGATACTAGATATGCGGATATCGCGTTTTACGGAACCTAAAATTCTGTGCCACTTTTTTTGAAGTCTGTTTTGAGTTAGCGTGGTGAAGACTTGTTTTGTTGGAAAATTTTTTAGAATTTTATATCAACTTAGAGTATTTTTGAAAACTAGAATAGTTGAACTTTTTACTGTGTGGTTTATAACTGTTATGACTTGCGTTATTGGTTATCGTGTTGGTATCTCATTTTTATTTTTACCTGATGTCTTTTTGGGAGACAGAGAGGCCAATCAATTATTTTATTTTACATATGATTTAGATAAAATAATTAAAAAAAAATATGGAAAGTCATATAACTGAAGATTTGCCATGTTATTTAATTCATATCTAATTTAAAATATGAAAATTTTACTTATTTTTTATAGTTTAAAAAAAGGTTAAATTTTACTTATAGTATAAAAAAAGGTTAATAGATACAAACTTTAACTTAGCTAAAGATAATCCTGAAGTTGACTAGTTGTTGCTTTTAATAAATGCAACAACTAGTATGTTTTTGGATTTACTAAAACAATTAGTAATAATAATACAACAACTAGTAATACTAGTTGTTGCATTTACTAAAACATTTAAAGTTTACTTGTCTTCAAGTTTACTAGTAGTAAACTTAAAACTCATTTTTACATACCATTTTAATGAAATGGTTATTATAGTATAATCTAATGGAAAATACGTTTAAGTTTTGTATAAATTATTTCTACAATACTTGTACATATTTTATATTTTGTAATATTTATAAAAAAATGTATAACTACATATTTTTATTTGATTTGCATCTTTGTGTTGTTAGTTATATTATGTTGTTAATTATACTATGTTTAATGTGTACAATGTTGCCCATTTACATAACTTTTTGATAGTTATATTCTTATATACTTATTTTTTGTTGATTTTTTTTATAGACAATCTAAAACAAATAATCAGTAAGTAAACTGATGATTCTGAAAACCATATATGTAATGCCATTGATCACATGGCTTTAATTTATTCAGATTTTTACATGTGTAATTATAATGAATCTGGTAATTTAATTATTGAAAACATATCAAACACAATGTCTGACTGAGCTGCTGTTAATCATCTTACTGTAAGCAAAGTTTGTAAAACCTGGGCACAAAATCTCAATGAAATAAACTGCCATTTGTACCCTCTTGATACTATTGCCACACATGTCGTTTAGCATTAAAGTCTTTAGAGAATGAGAGTTGTAAATTATGTGGAAATGACTGCATGGCAACTTTAATTATTCTAGCTATAACAAAATGAAGTATAAACATGTAAAAGGTGAATCACAAGGTTTTACAAGTTTTTTAGACAATAACAAATTGGAACAACCGCATTCGTGTTCTTTTTTGTACTTGTTTTATTCTGATAAAGCATTACAGTGAATTTAAACAATATCTTATAACTGGAACAGTAAAGTGTAAAAGTTTGCGAGCAACTCTTCAAGAAACATTTTGTAGTGTAATCGCAATCAAACAAATGTGTGCTAGCAGTATTTGGAAAACTTCTTGCTGGACCCTGAATGAAAATGTTTTATGTAACATCAGAGCAAGCAACTTTTGATCATGTTGCTGGTATCCAGGTTGTGAAAAATGTTATATAAACAGTTCAAGCTTGCAAATCCAATCCAGCAGGGTTGTTTTGCAAACAGACTGA